GCCTCTGATTGGCTGTTACATTCATAAGCTCAACAGAATCGTGTGTGATTGGTTTTTAATGTGCAGCGCTGTACAAATGCGTCTGATATATTATAACTATTATTCGGCTATTTTTTGTCTTTTGGAAGCTGCATTTAATTAAAATCCACTTGGCTCAAAAATCTGCCTGCACATGCCCCTCGGTTCGAATGGACATGACACATCTCTGTAACGAGTTCTGTGTGTGTTTGCTCCTCAGACACGGGCGTTGATTTCGCCTCCACGATCGTCCCACGCAGTCACCTCCTCAGCGCCCCCTTCAGTACGGAGGTGCAGAAGCAGTTCTCGCGCTACTACAACGAGTTCTCAGAGCTGCAGCTGCTGGGGAAGGGAGCGTTCGGGGCTGTTATAAAGGTCAGACGTCTTCTATCTCTCTGTTTAACAGACTGAGATTCATTAATAATACACATACTACTTCTGTGCCTGTTTCCTACATCCTGCGATCATCTGTGAGACGTGAGAAACCAGACTTGGAGCTTGCGAGTCTTAAGTGACCGTATTGTGCAGCTCTAGTAAAAAAAGAGACATTTGATTTTCTGCGATATGAAAAACGACAGCAATTTTCAGCAGATGATTTGAATATCTCTGATTGGAAATAATTAATCTTTATGATTGTAAGGCTGAATATTATTATGTTACTTATATAAAGTAAAAAAAATGAGTATTTAATAATATAATTTATAATGTAATTTATAGTTTAGTAATGCATCTGCATATAAAATAAAAATAATTTTGAACTGTGATATTATAAATCTTTAATGTATAAGGCTAAATATTATTTTTATATTACTTATATTAGAATATGCTAATTAGTATTATTATTATGAGAAGTATTGTTGCATTATATATTATATTAATAGTAATATTAATATTTATATAAGTTTAGTTGGTTTATAAGTGCTCATAGTAGGGCTGTCAAAATTTGAATTTCGATTATTCGTCAAATTTAAAATAAAAAAACGCATTCTAATCACATGCGTTAAGGAGGCAGCTTATCAGCGGTGCACGAGATGCGATGACGATGTAAGTGTTGTTGCATTTTAATGTTTTTGTTAGTCTGTCCAGTAGAAGCCACTAGATGCGGTTTACATCAAAACTGAAACCAAGCCGTTCACACGTTCAACACATATTTCACGCATTTTCTAGAGGGACATCTATCACTGTTGCACTCGCATCTCGCACAAAAGAGCTGCGTGTTTAGAAAGCCATGTAAAATTAATGTAGGTTTAACTTTGAAAAAAACATATCTCGAGACTTTAAGACAGGTATTTCCCCATCCCACTGCATCTCATGTTTTTAAATGAAAAAGTACTCTGTGTGCTTGGCTTTCCGCCCTTTGTATTAAACTATATATACAAACATGATGCTGCTTTGTTTATAACTTAATTATAATTGGTTTATAAACATTATTTGAAAATTTTTTCACAGATAGTCATGTTATCTTATGCTTTGAATAAATGTTAGGGCTGCACGATTATGACAGAAATCATAATTGTCGATTATTCCCTTGAAATTGTAATTACGATTATCACAATTTACATTGAATGATGTTTCTACCATTGTTTGATGCAACTGCATGCCGTATTTTTATATGAAAATAAACGAGCTGAAAACACTCTAACTGAAAAACCTTTAGTGCTTTTCTATAGTATTAAGCCTCAAGTGTCAACTATACATTGGATTGGTTTCCTTTCTTCTTTAAATTATAAAAAAAGTTAAAATAGGAATGGTATTATAATGTTATACTAAAACTAAAACAATGGAAAAACCCTTAAGATAACATGTAGAAAGCAAAAAATGAATCTTAAGCACGCAGAATAACATAAGTGGACTTTTCGTCACCTTAACTCAAATTATGCATTATGACTTTGAATATAATTTTGAATATAAGTTTTTTTTTCAGCAATTTTGACAGCCCTAGCTCATAGTTCTCTGTCCTGCTCCTCTAGTTCTTCATGTGTCTGTGTTTGTCCCGTTCAGGTCCAGAATAAGCTGGATGGCTGTTATTACGCGGTCAAGCGGATCCAGGTGAACCCGGCTAGCAAACAGTTCCGGCGGATCAAAGGCGAGGTGACGCTGCTGTCACGACTCAACCACGAGAACATCGTGCGATATTATAACGCCTGGATCGAGCGGCACGAGACGCCGGCGACCGGAGCCGTATCCAGCGACAGCTCCGAGACCGTCAGCAGCCCCGAGCGACCGCAGCGACCCGCGGCTCCGGAGCGAAACGAGCTGGGACTGATGGACAACATCGAGGACGACGCTCCTCCGCCGGCCCTCGCCAGCTCAGTGGAGTGGAGCACGTCTCTGGAGAGATCGTCCAGCGCTAAATGCAGCGCTGCAGACTCCTCCGACGACGAGGAGGACGAAGATGAAGAGGAGGATGTCTTCTGTCCCTCCTTCCTGTGAGCTTCTGCTATCGAGACGCTGTCTGTGATGATGATGA